ATGAGCAGGTGCAAAACATAATGTCCCTGATTTTCAAGTTCTGATTAAACTGTCATAGATATGGAGCAACCTCAATAACTCCTCGCATCCGAGAGGGACGCTTATTACAGCACTGCACCCTCCAGTGCCATAGATAAGGGTCTCGCAACACTTCAATTACCATCCCCTATTGTCAGGATTTGTTTATTTACATCGGATGAAGTTGGTTCCCCTGAACGCGTGGGATGAGAGCAGTGGTTGAAGCTGGGCAGAATGAAGGCAGATGCTGTGTAAGCTGCTTCTCCCATGCAGTCCTGCCAGCTTTCCTCCATCCTGACCTGCATCTCCCACTGCTACTCCAGATATGGACCTTCCCCGCATGCCCACACACCAGCCCTGCAGCTGTCCCTATTGTTCCAGTCCTGGAACGCCAAAGAGCTCTGTCAGCGTGGCTGAGTCCTACAGCCCCTGCTAACCCAGCTGCCCCATTCCCCCGTTATATCCACTGTCACGGGTGAAACTGCCATCCAGCTCCCAGATGCCTCTTTGCACCCCAAACTCACTGCACCTTCACCATGTAATCTACCCAGCCACAGGGACTCTCCACAATCCACCAGGTCCTGCACCAGCTGCCAGGTTCCCCAGCACTCACTTTCCTCTTTTTGCAAAATCCACTTTGCTGGCTAATGTGACTTAGGAGCTCAGGGGATGTCTACACAGCAAAGAAAAACCTGCAGTTGGTCTGTGCCAGCCAACTTGGACTGCAAATGGTTTCATTGCTGTGCAGACAACTGGTCCCGGGCCAGACGTGGGTTTTCCTTTGCTATGTACACATACCCTTAGAAACACACAGGCAATTTTCCCTGTGCATTAGGAGTCGGGTTGATACAGCAGACAGGTCTATTCCACAATGAGAAGGAAAACACAAGACAGCTTCAGGGGAGGTGGTGAACTACTAGGGATCTGAATTATTGCTTTAAATCAGTGTTCATCAGAGCAACTAATGAAGTGGCCAGTGATGGAGAGATGTTTTCCAGAAGAGGAAGCCAACAGGCTGCAAGAGCTAGGAGCTCACCTCTAGGAATGGGTATCAGACACCACATTTGAGTTTTGAACCAAGAACCCATAGGATGGAAATTAACCAGAAACTGCTCATCTCTATGACCCCAGCCTGCCCATCCCACACAAAGCTCCACCCCATCCCATCACCCCCACTGGGATATAGGTACAGAGGGGCCATTACCTGGGAAAGGAGGGGCCAAGGGTTTGCAGAATAAGCACCCCATAGACTAGGGATCATCGTATTACCCCCACCCTCTGTTTGTCAGCCTGACTCACAGGTAGGACGTCCTCACCTGCCTGGGCTTGCAGAAAGCTTTATCAGCAGCTCTGCAGACTCTGAGCAAACTGAGCACTGATAGGCCATCTGCTGAAGGGAGAATTGGCTCCCAAAGCAACAAGTGACAGCCGTCTTCCAACAAGTGCTCAGCTGAAAGTGGAGTTCCAGGCAGGGCGGGGTTGGGTCCAGTCTCCTTAGCCCAAGGAAAAGCGTAGCTGGGTGTTAAAATAAGTACTCAAACAGATGTGGGGTCACTGTTCTGTTTCTGAGACAAATTGACCTTTGATGTTGGAGCTCTGAATAGGTTAGTCAAAATACTCAGCCAGACAAGCAGGTGATTGTCTTCTCCTCCATTCCCTTCTTTTCCTAAAATAGAAATCCCCGTCTCTCTGTGCATAAGCAGCAAACCCTCGCTCAGCTTCCCATATGAAAGAAGACCCCCAGTGCTGTGAAAAGAACAGGGATAAGGTATTGTGGAGTGGGAGCTGCCATCTGGGTTTGCATCTGTGAGGTGCTGGCAAAGCACATACGGAGGATCCTTTTCTCTGCAGCATTCTTGGCCATGGAACTACGGAACGATGGAACAAATGGGAAAATAGCTTTGAGATCAGCTGGTCGCTATGTCAGCCCCCCAGAAACCGCCAGACATGGACCGAAATCCAGAGAGCTGCCAATTTAGACATTTCTGGGGTTTTCCTGTACATTTGGATTTAACTGCCATAGAAACTGGCAAGCTCAGGGGTAGGGGTATGTGTGCCATTAACCTAACTTGTGTTTGTTCCTAGACAGTGCCCCGTGGGGAAGGTACAGACCGCACAGAGCCATGGTGTGCAATGAAATACCCACTTACTGTAGCCACATTGACACTGCGAGATGCATCCTCCCTCTGCTTCTTGAGGATTCTCTCGTGTCATTGTGGGATTTGTCTCTATGACTCTGTGGGGGTTGCTCAGCCTATCAAGTAACAAAGACCATTCAAATTAGCAACCGCCTGACTGACAATGTGCAAGTACAGTGGAACTTCAGCCCTAATGACCAGGAGCTACTTGGTTCAGCAGTGTGAGGAATAGGAGCTTCACCGACCCCGACCTGCTGCCTTTGTTTTTCCTTGCCTGCTACTGATCTGGGGCCTTTGCTCCAGAAACGCGAGCAATTTGCCGGTGTTCTGGGCTCCAGGCTTAGTCTGGAGAGATCGTGTAGAATCCAAGTGACTCGTGTGTGTTCAGAGAAAGCGATGGCACTAAACGTCTGAGTTGTCTTCTGTGTCCGTGGCTTCTTGGATGACGTCATTCTAAGCAAATATTTCTCTTTCGTTAACATCCATATTGCTCAGATTCCTCTTTCTCATCACTGCTCATGTGAGCTAGGGAAACTTTTCTGGGCCATGTGTGGATTTTCCTGGCTCTTCCCTGACATCAGAGAGCAAACACTTTTGCAGGGAAAAAAGAGTCGAGGAATGCATTTGTTTTCATCACTGACTTTCTAGCACAGCATCTTGAGATGTCTTTACCAGAACACACAGCTATTTCAAATACTTGACTTTCTGCATTTCCATTCCATGTTTGGGGGCTGATTAAGAGATAACAAGCTAGGAATGGGACTCCCCCACTCTCTACTTGGGACACGACACTGTGAAGGATGTAGGAACAATACTGGAAATATGACATGGAAGTGATTGGTTTCATATACAATATATGGCACCTATCTAGCGCTCTGAGCTTCCACAAATGCATGCAATTATCTCCCCATTGCAGGGGTTTCTTTAAAACGGGAAGACACATGTTTCTGATTGTCTGTGCCTGAATTTATGCAAATAAATGAACATTTATGCTAATTTGCAATCTCCTGCCTTTTTGTCAGTGGAATTTGGCAGGCATGCTAACCCGAGCAGCAGGGAGGAATTGTCTTACTAAACTCCAGCATTGCCGCCTGGATCTCCCGTGGTAACCTCCAGCATTGCCGCCTGGATCTCCCGTGGTAACCTCCGGCATTGCCGCCTGGATCTCCCGTGGTAACCTCCGGCATTGCCGCCTGGATCTCCCGTGGTAACCTCCGGCATTGCCGCCTGGATCTCCCGTGGTAACCTCCGGCATTGCCGCCTGGATCTCCCGTGGTAACCTCCGGCATTGCCGCCTGGATCTCCCGTGGTAACCTCCAGCATTGCCGCCTGGATCTCCCGTGGTAAACTCCGGCATTGCCGCCTGGATCTCCCGTGGTAACCTCCAGCATTGCCGCCTGGATCTCCCGTGGTAACCTCCGGCATTGCCGCCTGGATCTCCCGTGGTAACCTCCGGCATTGCCGCCTGGATCTCCCGTGGTAACCTCCGGCATTGCCGCCTGGATCTCCCGTGGTAACCTCCGGCATTGCCGCCTGGATCTCCCGTGGTAACCTCCGGCATTGCCGCCTGGATCTCCCGTGGTAACCTCCGGCATTGCCGCCTGGATCTCCCGTGGGGCAATGCTGATCTATTTTGCCCCCCATCCAGTGCTGTGGTTCAATCCACAGTTTAGCCTAGAGATTATACTAGGGCACAACCCTGCCTGGGCGGGGGGATGGGCTGGATGGAACAGAGGTTGTTCCTCTCTTACAGCCCATGATGACTCAGGAATGAAAGGTCCCATGAGAGGTAGAAGCCATAATGAAGAGAGATCTCTGAGTGAAAGGTGGCATCAAAGCAGACCTGAGTTTGCAATATAGTATGGCACCAAAAGAGACCAATGCCATTTTGGGTGGCATATGTAGAGGCCTCTCCTCTCAGAGCCAGCAGGGGATAGTTCCTCTTTCCAGGATTTGGCTGACTGCGAAGTACCTTTAGCTCAGCTAAGCAAACACTGAGGCCCTGCGTCCGTCCGGTATTTGCAGAATACAGAAAGCACTGCGTGTTGTGGGACATTGGGCTTGAACAGCAGTGATGGGATGAAACTAAGAGAAAGTTTAGCCTGAATATCCAAAAAATCATCTTGCCAGTGAGGCCTGTTAGACTGCTGAATGGTTTAACTAGGGTAGGGGGAGACTCATTTTCTGTGCACCTGACATTTGGGTTGGACCAGACACTCGAAAACACCCAGGGCCTAAATTCTCAGCGAGTATTTCCCAGAACCCCGGGGCTCAGGGCTTCTGCCCCATGGGAGGTGTCAGGCTCAAAGCTTCTGCCCCGGGAAGATGCTGGGGCTCAGGGCTTTAGCCCTGTGGGAGACTCCAGAGCCCCTGTGGGAAATATTTACCGGAGCTCTACTCCAGCCAGTTCCGGCTGAATTTAAGCCCTGAAAACACCATAGGAAACAATCCTGCCCTGGGTTGGGGATGGAGTCAGTTGCCGGCTGGAGCAGAGAGGTCCTTTGGTGTCTTCCACACTGAGGACTCGGGCTGACACTCATCCTTTCCTCTAGTGGTGTCACACCTGCTCTCCTGGCAGAGTCACTTGGCCGAGGTGATAAGCCAGGACACAGTTGCATTCTTTTGACATAACTAGACATTTTAAATCACACTCGGATGTGGCATCTTCCCTACCATGAGCTGGCCCAGGGTCCACACTCCTGACTGAATTATCAACCCCAGCAAATGAGGTTCAGAAATACAGAGACGCTGCCAGCAGGAGGCGCTCACAGGTCCCCGCAGTGGCACCGCTGTCCCCCTTCAGACGATGGGGAGGCGGGGGGGGAGGCTTATAGACAGTGGAACTTTTTTCTTCTTTTAAATAAGATTAATTATTTATTCATGCACAAAACACAGGTTATTGTTTGCTAAACAAATCTGTGCGCCCGTCTGTGCGCCTGGCTCTGTATGTGCCAAGTGCCCTGTTTCAAAAGAAATTACCTCACAACCATTTCATCACGCTTTTCCCCCTTTCCCCTCTCTGCTTCTGGCCCTCTTGACAACAGTCTCATCCCAAATGGGCTGTGTGGGGGAGCAACGGGGGAAGGGTGGGGTGGAGGTGGATGGCCCCTGACCCCAGACCCAGAGCCAAGGATGGAGCAGCCGCTCTGAGTTTTCCCCCAAAGCAACTGCTGGCTGCGGCAGCTGCAGACTCCAGAGCTCAGTAGCAGCTGTGGCCCAGCTCAGCCTAGATTTTTGGCGAGGAGAATCCGTTAGTACAAGGACCCATTCGCCATTTGCTTACCCTGTTGGGACCATCCAAATCTCTGTATGCCACCTCTCCTCCTGTCTGGCAGAGCCAGACTGGCATGCCCACACAAGGGGAAGGACAGGAAAAACCCCTCAGAGAGAATTTTATATTTTTCAACTTTTGGTGATTCAGTTCATGAGGTAATTTTAGAAACAAATTCTGGGGTTGCGGCATTAGGAGCCTCTGTATCTCTGCAGAAGCCCAGGCAGCAAACGAAAGCCTTGCTGGGCTCTGTTATCACAACGCCACACCGTTAAATGTCCTAAGCAATCTTTTTTTAAAGGAAAACAAGTCTTTAGAAACAGAGGTGACCCCCGAAGTGATAAGTGAAGAGGTTCACCTGAAAGTCTGTTATCAGCCATTTGTGCCTGGCTGTGCCTCAGATTTCTCATTTCGATGTGACGGCAGCTGAAAATTGGATAGATACTGACTTCACCTCAGACAAGACTTTCTCTTTTTGTCTTCAAGGGCAACTTGAGTGCTTTCGCCTCTGAGGTCACAGAGAATCATCGGAGGCTGAAAAAAAGCATTTGGGAGGGAAAAAATCACAATCACTGTTATTGTGTTTCGTAGCTTAATTATCAAAATATGCAACACAAGAGTGAGGAAGTCTGGAAAAGCAAGGAATGCACAAGTGTCGGGCGGTTTCATTAAAAATGCACAGCGATGCAAGATTTCTTTGATAAGAATGTGCAGAAATTAATTTGCAGCCACGTGAATGGAGCAATTCAAGCTGAAGTTCCATCATGCAGCCCACTTAAAACTGACACCCGTGCACAGGCACCTGCCTGCATGACATGTGTGCAGCAGATGCCAAGAATATGTTGATGCTGAACTTTTGGTTTTGAACGTGTTTTGTGCTCTTGCAAAGTGCAGTCTGACAGCCCCATAATTCACTTCACAGTCCTCCCTACACAAGACCAGCAGACATGGCACCAGGTTTTCCCCGTATTGCACCCTCCTTTCACACAGAGAAGGAAGTTCAGTCCCCAGGGCCCATTCCGTACCAGCCCGTAACAAAGTGCCAGTTGAGATAGTAGTGTATGTGGTTCAGACACCTGCTCTGAGTAGCTGGACGGGGACCCATCACATTACACACAAGCTGCCAAGAAGCCAGCAGATAATGACTTGTGGTCACTGCTTGGCCTGGGCTGGGTTTGAACTGAATGCTTTGAGCCCAGACGCTCTCCTGTTGCAGAAGGGAAGTGTCAAAGGGGCACATGCAATTGAAGGAAAGCAAGACCACTATCTGGCTGTGGAACATGTTGTCAGCTCTGCAGGAAAAACAGGGTGTAGGAAAGCATATGGGCTGGGGCTTTGAATCCCCATTGTCAAGGGAGCTGAAACCTATGGATCCTGTGTTGGGGACAATGTACCACCTGCAGTGAGCCTACCGGTGCAGTATAGGTGAGTTTGCAAGGGAAGAGAAGTGGGCAGAGGACACCGCGAAAAGAGCCAGGGGATAAAATCCACCAAAGGCAAGAGGAGAACCAGGGCAGGTCCCAGAAGCCAGAGAGGAGAGGGTGGCAAGGAGGAGAGGTGATTCCCAATGTAAATGGCCACCCAGTGGCCAAGGAGAAAGAGATGGTGACAAGGCCCTTACCCTCTCCCTAGCTGAGGAGTGGATCTTGGAGGAGTGAAGAGGGAGTGGAGGAGAGGAAGCAAAGCCAATGTGTGCAAATGCTGGATCAGGGCCTTAGGCAGAAAGCAAAGGAGCAGAAAGGCTGAATCAGGATTATCAATGCTGCAGACACGCTTCCACAGGAATTATGTTTAGTTTCATAGTGGCAAACCAAGAGCTAAATACATTCTGGCTGACGGGTCTTCTCTGTCAACCTCCTCTCCCTTTCCAAACAGAACGCAAGTGAATGGACAAAGGGGAACATCCCCTAACGATTAATATGGACAAAGAACTCTAAGCAGGCCCCTGTGATCCCTTCAGTGTCAGCGTTGAACTGCTCTCCGTGAAGGAGGGCAGTTTAGATCCTATATTAATTATCGATGTGTTACAAAGCAGAGTGTGTCGGACAGAGGAGAGATTTCCTAGTGCACAATGCCAAAATAATCTACACCACATTCTATGCTCCCATTGTCTTTGCTAACAATAGGTGACGCTTTTATCCATTAATCCAAAAAAAAATCCTGGTAAGGCTCTCCCACAGCCTCTGCCAGTGACTGCCTTGGCGTGTCAGCAGCAAATACGCAGGCAGCCAGCAAAAGGGTTGTAAACGGAGCAGGGACTCCAGCCAGACCATTGCACAGAATGCAGCTGGGGTAACAGGAACCTGCCTTGTCTTGTCTTTTCCGTCGTGCCCAGGTTTAAGCAGCCTGGCACAGCAATGTGTTGGAATTAAAACCACTGGCCCCTGCTTAGTCCGAAGAGTGTGCGGCATACGGGCCCATATGGACACCTCGGGCTGACCCTATGTCAGTCATCAGAGCCACACCTAGTGTGCACTGGCAAATGAGGCATTGGTTAGGGATCGTTGAAAATGTTCCGTCGAACTTCTTGGGGGGGGTGGAAAACTGGGCTTTCATCTCAACTAACATTTGCATGGAAAGTGACTGAAGAAGTGCCTCTGAAGAAGTGAGGTTTTTACCCACGAAAGCTTATGCCCCAATAAATGTGTTAGTCTTTAAGGTGCCACCAGACTCCTTGTTGTTTTTATGGAAAGTGACTGTGTCCCTCACTAACGTCAGAAAACCAATAACGTTTTGGGTTTTGAGTTTTGAATTTTTTGATGAACAGTCAAACTTTTCCACTGACGATTTCACCAACCGATGAATGTGTTGTTTTCATAGACATTTTCTTCAGGGCAAAACATCCCATTGCCCAGCCAGCGCTGGTCCTGTTAAAAGAGCATCATGAAAGGCTCAGACAGGCTCCTCCACACCGCACCGGTACTCAGCGGGGAGGCAGATGAGCAAACGTGGAGATGAAGCTGAGAAATCCAAGGCACAACACACAACCATTGGATGCTCGCTGCTCCCGTGTCTGGAGTCGGGATGCAACGCCCAACTCCACAAACGCTCGTTAGTGGGCAGTGCCTCATGCCGCTGGTGTTTATCATTGCACTATCGTCGCCCCAGGGCTCCTGTCAGGCAGCAGGGCCTGGCTGTGCTCGGTGCTGTACACGCACACCGCCCCCCAACAGAGTCTCCTTCCTCCCCCAGGCTGCAGCGCTGGGGCTGGCACAGGGAGAAAGCCTCATGTGTCAGTGATAAACTCTGCACGATTTCTGCACAGTGCGTGGCCGAGATCTGCATGGGTTAGTGCCAGGCACAAAGTGCTGAGTGGGAGGGGGTCAGAAAGGCGCTTTGCTGGTATCGGTGAGAGCGCTGCTGCAAGGAGATGGAGGCAGGAGACGATTTCCTAGCTAAGGGCTTCATTCGCCTGCTAAGGATCACATTCAGCCCATGCCTCCTTAGCCAGGCCCATTCCCTGCCCTCCCTGCTCTGTTTGCACCCTGCGCCCTTCAGAGAAAGGGACTTGAGACACACCCTCAGCTAAGGGACGCTGCCCTCTACCTAATCTTCGTAATGCCCAGGTGAAGCCTCTGCTACCTGTGTGATGGCGTGCCGCCCACTGGGCCTGCTGTGCACAACCCAGGCTTCTGTTGGGAGTTATCTTCGTTTTGATTTTCTCAAATTATTCCAAACAGGAACATTCCCAGGAGGCAAGGCAAAGTATTTCCCTTTAAACCCCACTTACTTTTCCCATTTCAGTTACCATAACAACTTGATGCAACTATGTATACGAATTCCTTTTCTCCCACTTCTTCCGAGCACATTGGCTCTGGGGCAGGACAGTGCAGAGCCTGCAACACCACATTTTTTTCAAACTATATTTTGCCAGATTTTTCTATAAACACCCACACAAAACACACTCACAAAATCAGATATGGTGACTGAGAAGCACCGTGCTTTACTGACCTTCCCTTTGCTACTGTCAAAGGCGGAAGCTTCCTTTACAAACTGTGATGGCGAAGGGAGACAGCTACATAGGTGTATAGCCTCGTGTCATTCGCCTTCTTAATGTTCTACGGGTCAAGGAATCCCTGGGGCACAGGAGTGCTGAGCAAGCCCCCAAAGTTTCTGGAGACCGGGTGCACAGAAGCATCCGAAGTCACTCCACTGCTTGGATCTAGCAGATGGGTGTGAGGGTCTCAGAAGCACAGGCTCTCGGCAGGTTTCCAGCCCTCTTCTTGAGATTCTCTGGGGGAAACAAATACCACAACAATTGCATTATTTCACAGTTTCCATATTGGCGCCATAGTGTGGCAGAGAGAAAAACAATAGAGGAGATAAGACTTAGATTTCCTGAGCTGCAGGAGGGCTAGGACATCCCAGGATTTCAGCCACAACTCGGTGCTCCACCTTAACACAGATGCTGCCTCTCCCCAGTGGCTGGAGGCCTCGGTAACTCTCTGACTAACTCTTCCAGTTGTTTGAGGCCAGGCCTACCTTTCTGTGGATGCAGTTTTCACCTACAATGTGACCTGGGGGTGGGACTCTGAAGATGCGTGCCTCTACTGCCTGATTTGGGGGGGGGCAAACTGTGTCCATAAAACGTGATGCCGCCCCTAGAATTGTGCCCCTTAGAAAGCACAGAGAAAGTACCTTAAAACAGAAAGGTGCTGCTGATCCTGGCTAGTTGAGAGCCCTTTCCAGCTCTCACCTAAGTGCCATTAGATCTGAAAAGTGGAGGTAAGTGCTACGGCTGCTGGCATCTACTGGGGATTTCCCGCTAGCCCCTGGGTGGTTCCATTTTGGAGCACAGAACTGTGAGCTGTAATCGCCGATGCTGCATGTGTGTGACTCGCAGGGGAAGATGTCCTTGCACCATGTGCAGCCCTGGAGCAATACAACGTAATGCGCAGCACGTCATTACAGACCGTTTGGAGGCAGGTGACATGTGCAGGTCTCTTAACCTGAGGACGCACAAAAGGGAAAGTGAAACAGCTGGGGGAGGGGGGCAGTTAGACACCCGGGTCTGGAGCCTGAGCGCCTTACTTGGACAGGTACTTTCCTCAGTCATTGGGCAAAACTCCCACTAACTGTCCCATGGCCTGGCCCCAGAACAGTCACATTTTCTCCCAATTTAAGTTGAATATTGACCCCTTCAGACTGGTAACCCCACCTCTCCCCCTGGAGCTACTTCTCTCTAGGCTGGGCGCTGACTGCGTCCCCTGAAATACTGTTCGCATTCATCTTTGGACAGCTTGAGAAATGTTTCCCAACCACAGACACAGCTTGAAAGATTATGTCAGCTCAGCTACCTAGTTTCCTGGATAACCTGCTTCAAACGAGACCAAAGTCTCCGCAGTCTCACTTTATTGCATACTTAGAGGGTTGTATATTTTTCCAATACTTGGATTTTTTTCTTTCAAACCAACAACTGACACATTACTAATAAAAGGGAGAGTTCACAGAATAAACTTCAGCACATTAATTATTGAGAGATATAATCCAAATTTATGTAATGAATTAATAATAAGCCATAGGGGTATTTTAATAATGAAATACTTCTAGTTGTGTTTCAATAATTATGGCAGGCTTTCATAATTACACCGCTGCAGTGAAAATAAAATCAAAATCAATTAAGTGGCAGTGATCCTGTCCCAGGAGTGCCCTGTGCTACTGTATCCAGCTCAGGTTTAAAGGGCCACTAGGAAAATCAATGTTGGTTTAAACTTCCAGTGTCTGACTGCCACTTGGCTTCACCCTTGGAATGAAATTAGCATTCTCCCCCGTGCATTACTGCTCCTAAAGAGGAGAGAAGAAGCAGCTCCCCTTGGAAGGACGTGGAAGGCAGGCGCTCGCTCACTCTTACATTTATTTCTGAAAAACTCTCTGAGCTGGCGAGCTTCATGCACAGCCGTGCAGTGTTTAAATGGCTTGCTGTGCATCTCTGCAAACGGCTGGTGCCAGCGCTGGTCAAGATCAGAAATCCTGGGTCAGCCCCCAGACATCCTTGTTTCATACCAGTAAACGCTGGATTCTTTTAATTTGTCTTCCCATTTTAAGCCCGAGGGCATCATGCTTTCCAGACTTTCTCTGCACCCAGAAGGGTAAGAAACATTTTTTAAAGGCAAGACGAGCGTCTTGCATGTTCACCTGACTCTAGGAGCTAGGCATTTGAGGAAAGGAAAACTCCCAGTATTGTGAGGCACGTGATAAAGCCCCAGCAATTTTCTCTGCCTGACTGCATGACTAGGGTTGAGTTTGGCTCACTGCCTCCTGGCTCGAGCAGCTCCCCAGAGCCCAGCATGTGCCTAGTGGGTTCAATGGGCGGGGACCAAAGCCAATGTGAGGAAAGACCATGCAAATATCTCATGCCCAAGTTCTAATAGTTTAAAGACAACACCCATGTAATATTGATCTGAAAAGGCAGCACAAGTGAAGCTTCTCCTGCCCTAGATCCCTCCCCCAGCCCAGCTGCTATACTCTGAAGGCAGCTGGGCCCCTTTAAACTTTTCATCTCACTGAAGGAAGTGAATTAGGAGCTGGAAAGAGCTCCCGATTCTGCTTCTTGAGTAAAGTTGTCATTTGCAGCAGCTGGGACGCTTCCCAAGAGCTGCTGAGCAGCACGGCGGGGCTGGAGGGGAACCATGGCCTTTCGGCTGCTCACAGAACACTAGGAGCTGAGTTTCAAAGAGAAATTTCTGCTTCCCTGCTTGAGCCTGGCTACCAAGTTTTGGCAGCTTGGCTGGTTGGTACCTTACCTGGCCAGGTGATATCAGTCCTTGGAATGACCCTACCTCACACCTCTGTGGAGCACAGTGGTATTGCAAAGAGACAAGGGGGTTAGTCCGTTATAAAGGAGTCTGGCTGTAGTATAAAGATGACAGGAGCACAGTGAAGTACTGCTGAGGTCAGCTTGCACTCCAGAAGTGCGGTAACAGGGAACACGTAGGTCAACGGGAAAAGCGACACTGTGCTAAACTTCCAGAGCAAAGCAAATTGTGCTGGAAGCCGAGAGAGAGTCTGTCAAAATGAAAACAAACAGATGGAGTTGAAAAGGTTACCAGAAAATAATGGATTGTGCATACATTTCTTTCCAATGTTTTTTAGGAATAAGACTGATTTCCAAGGGTCCGGGCTCGGGTAACCCTTTCTGTGTCAGAGATTTTATTTGGTCATTGCCATGAGAAGAGTCAGCTGCACGGTTCCCTGGCCCGGCTGTAGCCTGTCTTAGCTCCATCTTGGTACCAGGGCTGGGGGGACAATTGCTTGAGCTTCCTTTAGGCCGTGCAGGGAAAGTTCCCTTCTGCAGCTGGCCAGGTGCCTCCCTTACCACGTTCCATTGTTTGTGTTTAGACTTAACAGCAGTTAGACCCCTCCGCAGGCCTGTCCATGGATATCGGAGCAATTCCTCCCTGAAAAAAGCTGCAGACCAGGTGCTTCTAGCCAGTCGTTGCCTTGACATGGAGGACTTGACAAAGATATAGCCCAGAGGAGGCAGGGCAACAAAAGGCTGATGGGTAACATAATAGGAAAGGGGGAGGGGTGGAATTTTTCTGTGTCAAAGATAACAGCCTTAAACTGGCAAAGGGAAAATTCAAGTTCTCCATTAGGGCAAAGCATTTGTAATGAAGAGGTCAATCGGGCAACAGAATAATTTATCCAGGGAAGTTGTCAGGGCTCCATCACCAGAGGTGTTTGAGAGCAAATGAGATTTGACACTTAGAGGAATAGGCAAGAGGGATTCCTGTGCTGGTGTGAAAAATATTTTTGTGCCTGAAGGAAATTTGCAAACAGGCAGTGGCAAAATGTTGAATTTTACCAGTTTCCCTTTTGTGTGTGTGACATTTTCTGCACAGCTTTAGCATCGTTATAACATGTGCTTAGCTGAGAAGAGTTGCAGATATAGTTTCAGTGAAGAAAAATAGATGACATAAATATTTGTGTCCTGTGTAATTTAAAGAGAGACCAATGTTATCTGTGACTTAATAATGACCATGTAATACATTCACCCTGCTACAGCATTGCTAATGGCCATCACTGACTCAAAATGACAACAGCTTTCCAAGGTGATGTCACAGTATGCGGTTAATAACTCTCTTAGTTTGGACCCTGAATGTAGAATAATGCACTACACTTTCTGAGGGAGAGTTTGACAGAACAAACAACCTGTACGGCAGTTTCGAGGACAGGAACGCTGGCTCAGATGGTGGTTTAATGACAGGCGCACCTAAAGGTGTCTCAGTGAGCATAGCGCTCATATTGTGATCTGTAAAAACCCACAAGTGAACCCGATCTAAGAGAGTTGAACATGGGAGTTTCCTTGCCTGGACTGTAGTAATTATGCTCAGTAGATTCAAACTATTTGCAGGGAATAATTTAAACCACAAATTTTGCAAGGAGCAATAGGGCTAATTATGCACAAGTAGACTTCAATTTTGAAGTCTGTGTGTTTTATTCAAAAATGGTTCAGAAGAACATATTTCAGCCCATTAATAGCTCATGAACTCTTCATCGTAACGATTGCTTTGAGCATTCTGCTATGCATGCTGTGTGACTGGTCATGTAAGTCACACGGTATTTTTATGCTCCCTGATTGGTGACAGATGATTAAAACCTGCAAGGAGCTTTGATGGTCCCATGAATACGTCAGGCATAAATACTCCATGTGACTAGATATTCACAAGCGCTTGCTCAACCCAGGAGTGCTGTTGTGAGAAGAACTCTCCTGGTGTGGACGTTAGGTCTTGAATACAATTTGAACCAAGTTCATGGTTTTATTCAACCCAACAGTTCATGGATATTTCTGCAGCACTTGCAGAGCTCTGCAATTGCCCTGTTGCATTCCAGAGCCTATGCATAATTAGCAGCTACAAGGTACTTACCAGGAAGTCCTACTGAGTTGCCTCTTCTCCATGGAGAATCCCACAGAGACACCGGGCAACTCAAACTTCACAAAGGTGACCTCACGGAAAGGCTTGGGGAGAAGGAAGTAGCCAAGGGCACAGCCTGCCAGCCCCTGATTTCGAGAGGTACCCAGCCCCTACAACTCCACCTGAAGCCCAAGAAGAGCAGTGGGCAATCAGCACCTCTGAAAATTAGGCCCTTGTTGCTGTGTGCTTGTCTGTTGAGCAGCTGTCGGGTATCACCTGTGCGGGAGCCCAGCGGAAGTTAATGCGGCAGCAGGTATTGCCTGTTGACATAGGTATCGGTTAAGGATTGTGCCAGAAAGAGAGAGAGACAGGTCCCCTGTTCCTCCTCTTCCTGCCCATGTCCCCTCCCTCAGAGCTCCAGCAAAGGGGACCCTGTGGGGATTCAACCGCTTCCTTCCACACCCACTGCCGCTCCCTGAGTTCAGCTGGTCCTGAGCCCCTCCACTCACCGTCCAGGCCCAGCCATTTCAAGAGCAGCTATACAATTTGGGGCCTGGCATTAGAAAGTGTAATCTGCACAAGGTGTTTTCATTTCTCTCTTGCATATTAGGGGCCGGGTAGGGCCAGAAACACCTTTACCAAGAGCTATAGGGATCCCCACAGTAGAGTGGAGGAGACAAACACAGCGACGGCCATAGGCCATTGGCTGACAGGGGATGGATCACTTGATCGTGGCCTGCTCTGTTCATTCCTTCCTGGGCACCTGGCATTGGCCACTGTCAGCAGACAGGATCCTGGGCTAGATGGCCGTTCTTATGTGAAAGCTGGGGAAAGCCAGCAGGAATTAACTTGGTGCATGAGGAAAGAATGCAGGACCCTGGGCAGATAACATGTGGCTTTGATGCACATTAGCTGTGTTTGCAAATCTTCCCAGGATGGATAATCCACAGGCAGGAAATAATATTTATTCATGCCCATATTTTCCCCTCTCTCTAGTTCAACTTCTCCATTCTGTCTTGCTGCAATTGGTTGTCCTTAAATAGACTGAAGTGCTGTTCAGTAGGTCAATCCATTTCATCAAGTCATCCGGCTTGACCTTTTGCAGTATAAGGCAATGCAATTTATACTGCAAGTTAGAGTGCCTTCAAGCACTGCACTCATCCAATTCCTAGCCAGGAGAAAATGAGGGAGGGCTAAGAGCCAGCAGCAGGTTGTTCTAACCACTGCTTAGTGGCGGGGCCCTTGTTATAGACATGTCAGTGAAATGTCCTCAGCACCGATGGAGCTCTCTAGCAGTGAGCTGGAGCAGAAGAAGCAAAGCCTGGGCCTCATCCTTCAAACTCTTACTCAGCTCCAGAACCAGGGTCTGCAGGAGCTGGCCCCTGAAAGGGTGCTCTGCCGCACCGTGCTGAAAGGCCTCGAGCCGACCACCATGGCAAGTTGGGCTCTGAGGAAGCTGCCCTGTCGGTGGGCTAGAAACATCGGCGCGCGACGGGGGCCTCCACGTCCTCACCCATCTGCGGGTTGAGTTGATCAGTTTGCGACTGATGTGCCTCCCCTTTCAGCCCGGCTCACGGTGGTACAGACCAGAGCCTAGAGCCCAATTCCCACCGGGGAGAGGAGCAGAAAGCAAAGGCCCTCGTGTACAGAGCCACCCTCCCTGACACACTGGCCATGCCAGGAGCAAGCCAGGCTCTGCACAGGAAATGCAGCAGCCTTGGGCTCTCGAGGGGACAGCGAGTTTTGGAGTCAGGGCTCCTCATCGTTGTCACCTGAACACCAGCCCCTGGGGCCTGGTAGCACCAGAGGCTCAGCTAACCTCAGCCAGCAGCACAGCTCCCCTGGGCGATGCCTTACCCCGGGGCCCTGGGGTGCATGCCGCCCGGCCCAGCACTGACTGTACTTGACATGAACATCTCCAGGTGCCAGCTCTTACGGCTCATTGCACACACCTCAGTCCCCTCGGCCATTGCCAACCAGCAGACGGTAGGTAGGGAAAAACGCCACGAAAAAACCCGTAATCCAATAACTAATTGCCTCTTTATGTGTGTGGTCTTATCTGGCCTTATCTCCTCATACCATGTCGGGCATCTTGTGTTCATAATCCATTTAGATTCTCCGATTAGAACCTGCTACATAAAGCAGATAGATGGCTTCCCCTTTAATACCTTCTTTACAAGAGTTTTCTTTTTCTTCATAAATCAACCGAACAGTCTGGGGGCACTGGCAGGAGCAGCACATGAGGGGAAAGCAGACACTGGCCGTTACTGATAAACCCTAACATCGGAACGATTCTACAGTGCAGCCATTATTTCAGAACTGCTCTCTGCTCCGGAGGTAGGCCAGATTTCCAGCCAGGCCTTGCCCCAGTCTCCTCTAGGGTTTGCATAACACTGAGCATACACACCAATGCACCTGAGGAGACGTGCCACTTGTTCACATCTCAGCCCCCAGGTTGTCAGTGCTGGGCCAGTGTCCTCTGAATATGGGGACTCACAGCACACAGGATAAGCGCAGGGAACAGAGTAGGCATGAGGGAGGGAAGCAGCTTACCTGGATTGTGCCACTCTTCTGGCAGAGCTAGGACTCCTGGGTTCCAGTCTTGGCTCTGACACTGACTTGTTCTCTAGCGCTAGACAACTCACTTCCCCTGCTACCTCCGTTTCCCCTTCCCTAAAATAGGACTAACGCCCTGCTTAGCTGACCGAGATGTGAGAGTTAGTTAATACCTGTACAGCTGCTTGAAGAGGTAAATCAGTATGTGAGAGATAAATATTCACTGATAGAGACCGCGTTCCTTTGTAGTTTAATGCCAACGGCTGGGACAGCATTTATGTGTCTCCTCCAAACTCCCAGTGCTGCAGCATGCATCAGGGTTAACAGCTGGGTTGCCCAGTCCCATGTAAGGAGCCAAGGCTCTTCCCTGCCTGCATAACCCTTCCTCCCAGCGAGCTGTCATCTGGGATATCCGTTCTGCAGGCAGGCTGCCTGGGATGGGGATGGAGCACTACAGCAGAACCTCAGCCTTCCCACTGCTGCTTTTCATTTGTGTCCCTACGTCATCGTTTAGCTGTTAGGACCCAAGAGGGATAAATCTCCTGGGAGAAGTTGAGCATGAGAGACGCAGCAGCTACAGGGAACCGGGGCAGGGTTCCTGGCTTGTCTGCAGTTCATAAGGGATAGACAGATGCACAGTAACTCAGAATAGCAGCAAAAGTCTTGTGCAATGTGTTGAGCAGGTTGCCCCTCCTTGCAGCATGTCCCCTGCCTCATGCTCCACCGCGTGCTCTCTCGCCATCACATTAGAAGGGTCCATGTACAGATAATTGATGCATTTTTAACTTGCAAATGCAACACAAACTTCCCTCAGGAACGTCTAATTCACATTTTAAGTAACAAAAGGGCTCAAATCCCTTTCTTGCCTACTTAGTCATGCTGCATTTGGTATAAGCGAGATGAAATGCTAAGCTCGGGGAAGATCAGAGAGAAATTGTCTGATTTCCACATTATAGGATAATTCCATGGCTGACTTACCCAAATGTGCAAGATGAGACACCACACTCAGACGGCATCCGCACCACACAGCTGAACTCTGCAGCTTCCAGCCTTCAGAGAATGGAAGAAGGAGATCACGGGATGTGGGAGGAATAATAGATGGAGGTCTTGGAGCTGCAAGAGCCAAACGCGACGAGGATGTGCCGACAACATTGTCTGCAGCACAAAGGGGACGTACTTTCAGCAGCATAGTCACTGCAAGGGATTCATGGAAACAAACTGTTTGGAAGGATTGAAAGAGTCTGGGAAGCAGACACTTGCTGTGTCTCAGAGAAACCGCTATAAGCTCGCATGTTCCAAGGGCTTTTATTAGCCTTCATGCTTCAGGCCATGAACCGCCTGCCTCCGGGTATCAGGAAGGAACCCCACATATGTAGCGCTCCTTCCTCCCGAGCATCATGCATCGGCAGGAGCAGGCACAAGAAGCCACAGCAGAGGAGCTATCGACTGTGATTCATTGGCTCCTGTCCGATAGATATTTATTCCTTGCACCCCTCGCTGCAGGGACCTCTGCAATAAAGCCCGTGCCGAGGTGCGCCACCCTACATAGGCTCAGCAGTCACCCACCACACAAGATTTTTGCCACTACTAGGGGCTTGGGTCAGATCCCAAACCTGCCCGTCCGCTCCCAGAACCCCAGGGAGTGAGACAGGCCACTCCACAAGCGAAGGCACCACAGGCAGCACAGAGCCCTCCACCAGCCCAAAGGTGATCCGTTTCCCCTGCCATGTAGAGGCCCAAGCCAGGGAAAACCCTGTTTGTGAGCAAGGGCATCAGGCTGCCCCACCAGGGCCAGTGCTGCAGGTCAGGACATCACCTGCACTACGGGAGAGGAGTGAAAAGCCCCCTCCAGTTCTATGATGTGGCACAGCACAGGGCTTCACATGTGCTGTCTGTGGCCCTTGCTCCAGTTCCCCACATGCTCCCTGCCCCTTGCCTAGTGCAGCCTGACGCTGAGCCTGGAGCACGCCAGGCACTAGGGACAGTCATTCTCCCCCACAGGCTCACTTCACTCCATTGATGTCATTGTTAGTTGTGATCTTACTGCTTTGAGCTATGGCCAAGGCAATAGTAGAGCTGCAGCTCCAATGGCTGCCCGCTGCTGCCATCTCACCCAGACAAGGCCCCCTCTGGTCTCACCTGGTGGAACGGCGTCCTACAGGCATGTGGGTCCAGACGTCCCGCCGCGCGCACACAGCTGGGCCAGCGCTGGACAGGAGGCTCCGTCCCTGGAAAGTCCCCAGGAGGGTCCAACCACTATAGCTATACTGAGAAGTGCAATTCCCACAGAGGCATGTGCAGGGTCTGCATTGCTGGGCTATCAGTTCCCGAACCCTCCGCAGAAGAGCCACTCGCAGCCACTTATCTCGAAACCCAGCACAATTTAATTATCAGCTTGGAAGGTATCCAGCAAAGCATCGAAGTAGACACATGCCAGTTGTTTAGGTATAGCAGTGCCCTGCTCATTGTGTTGGGTGGGGATTTCAAGAGGGGTTCACAATCTTTTCCTTAAGTGCTGTTATGCTGAACTCCTTCCTGCATGTTTCCCGTCCCTCCGGGCCTGGCCGCCAGCTGCTGGCAGTGGGGAGATTTTCTGTTGTTTTCTGAAGTGATTTAACAAATGGTGTGTTAAACAGAGAGGCACCAGGCCTGGCTCTGGCCTGCGTCCGGGGCTGCAGGGGTGAAATGCCGCCAGCCCACAACAGCCGTCGTTCACACCCACTTTGCCCAGCTGTAAATGACTCCACGCGGGGCAGGGCACACGGAGCCGAGTGGAGACACAGCTCAACCCCCCGCTTGCGGAGCCAGGGTTTCTACCTCACTCCACTTTTCAATGTGCTCTGAGCCCGTCTGCCCTGTCTAGCTAGCTCACGGCTACTGCACCTGCCGCCACGGCATCTCGGCTCCTTGCTGCTCCCCATTCCAGCAGGAACTACTCCACACCATTATCACAAGGGAACCGGCTGGGGGTAGCCTTGTGCCTCCGTTGTAAAGAGCTGCTTAAAGAGACCCACTTTGTGTGCTCTCCTGTGTTTATTCTCTCTTACATTCTGAGTCCCTGGAACAAACCCACCTTTTGTATGTGCTGGAGCAAAGGCTAAACAAATGGATTTTCCCTCATCTTCAGATATTGCTCCCAGCTTAAGCAATGCAACAGGGTGAAAAGCACAAGCCATTCATAATTAAACTATTATCTTGCAAGCCCCCCCCACCCCAACCCATTTAGCCTTGAAGAAAAATTCCCCCCCACCACTGTATTCAGCTCAATTCTGAAAGCCTAACAGCCTGAGCGGTAACCAGATAGTCCAGATACTTATCTCAGCAAACCAGAAACTGTGGGAAGCGGTGGCATAAAGGGTGCTTTGTGAGTCGAGCATTGTTCCCATGCAGCTCCCGCGCCGCAGCCGACGCTGAGTCACAAGCACCTGTACCAGCCAGCGTTCCAGGCCCCTGCCCCATGCTCTTTGGGCAGGCAGTAAACAAGACAGTGTTTCAGCTGGAGCAAAGAGCTGCGTGTCTCTCGAGGAATGGGGCGGAGGGGAGAGTTTACTCTTTCCATTCGCAGAGAAGACAGCACAGTTTTGCCTATACTAAAGTTGCAGAAGATCTGAGGCTCACAGGTGTGGCAGGCTGAGAAAACAGGTTGTGCAACACCGCTTTGGGGCCCTTCCTCTGCCCCAGCCCACCAGATGTCAGCCTCTGGGTTCACTTTTGCTTGGCACAAGACTGTAGCATTGGTAAAAATCTTCTTTCTAGTGAGCTGCATGCAGGCAAAGCGCATGGAACCAAACAAGATTTGTTTCCTCCTCCCACAAACCCAGCAAAATGCCCAGCTGGCCAGTGCATGGCAGTCTGCATTCATGCACAAACCCTGGCTCCTGGCAGAGCATGGGTAGCATGCTGCATTTGCTGACAATGCAGTCTGGGAATCTCTGCCGAGCCCTCCAAGGACCAGGCAGGGTTCCCTTACAGGCCTGAGTCCTCTGCCACTGCCAAACAAATCAGTGCTTCCAGGTAGCTCCGGCTCTCAGCTCCCTCCCACTGCTGCCCATCACTGACCTTCCTCAATAACCAGATGTCACCCAATGAAATTAACAGGCAGCAGGCTTAAAACAAATAAAGGAAGTATTTCTTCACACAAGGCAAAGTAGCCTCTGGAACTCATTGGCAGGGGATGTTGTGAAGATCAAAAGTATAACTGGGTTCAAAAAAGAACTAGGTAAGTTCATGGTGGATAGATCCATCAACAGCTATTAGCCAAGATCTTCAGGGACACAACCCCATGCTTTGGATGACCCTAAACTTCTGACTGCTAGAAGCTGGGACAGGATGACGGGATGGATCACTCGATAATTGCCCTGTTCTGTTCATTCCCTCTGAAGCCCCCGGCACTGGCTGCTGTCAGAGACAGGATTCTGGGCTAGAGGGAGCATTGATCTAACCCCACTATGGCCAGTCTTATGTTCTTATTAGCCTGGTCTTGTTCAGTTCTATGGGCTGTATCCCTTTAACTTCCCTCCCTTTGGTGACCGCTCTTTAAATCAAATGCCCCTCTGCAGAGTCCTGTGGCAACGTAACAAAAAGGACATTGTTAAAAATGCAAAGTCGTTTGTGGTTGCAGGGTTTTCTCTGTGCTCTGCAACAGAGCAAAAGCTGATAGGATGCTGCACTCAGCCTGTCTCCGCATGCATGTTATTTGGGACAAATCCAGAGCTGGTATAAGCAGTTGCAACCACAGCAGGGACAGCTACTGCACCAGGCCTGAATTTGGCCCTTTATGACTTATCTCTTATGTGGCATTTCTTTATGCCTCACTCTTGGCCACACTTTCACGTCTTCCAGGTTTGCAGGCGTTGCCCTTTGACTCATGTTGCTCATTTAGTGCATCAAGAGACCATCCCAGAGTGCAAGGTATCTACAAAAGCAGCCCTCACTCTCCTTTACACAGTTAGGGCAGGACTATCTTTGCCCAGAGCAGCCGTCCATCTAGCGGTACGCTCAGCCGCATGCGTACAGGGACCGGGAACCTGGCCAGCATGATGACATCTCTCATGACGTCTGTACTGGATGCACACAGACTCAGAAGCATTGGAGGAAGAGCACTTCCTCTTCGCGTCGGTAGCGATCGCAAAGGCACAGGCAATCCTTGCTGCCACCCGGCTCTCCAGTTCGTGTTTCAATGATGCTGCCACAAACATTTATTGTCACAAAAGAAGTTATTCAAACACAATCAATTAGGCGACTATATTAGCATATTTTTCATTGTAATATTATAACAAAGGGTATATTCCTTCCTGTGATTGTATTTATAGGCTTTTGCAGCTAATATTTGTTTAAATGATTAATATGTTTTTCAAATACATGTGACAAGTGTGGCAGAAATGTTTCTCTCTCTGCAAACAATGCTGTGAAAGGAGAGCCCTCAGGAGCGCTGCCTTCCAGGTGCCACCGAGTTCTTCAACTCTTGCAAGTGACATGTTTTGATGCTAAGGAATTCCAAGGGAAGGGCTTTCCAAAGCAGTGTTTAGAACTGTGATTGGAGCTCCAAGCACTTCCCACCAGCCCTGAATGATCCCTGGATCACAGCACTCCAGCGAGCTTCCAGCTGATTTGCTTGGCGCTGGATAGTTTGATTTATTCAGAATTGCATGTCGTAGACTATAAAGCCAGAAGGGATCACTGTGATCATCTAGTGTGGTCCCTTGTGACGCAGGCCAGAGCATTTCCCTGAGTTAATTCCTGTTTAAACTGGAGCATCTCCTTTAGAGAAACCTCCCAGCTTGATGTTAATCATTGGAACAATTTACCAAGGGCTGGGGTGGATTCTCCACCACTGGAAAATTGTAAGTTATTCCCTCACTGTTCAAACTTGCACCTGATTTCTAGTCTGACTTTGTCTAGCTTCACCGTCCCACCATTGGATCTTGTTATGTCTCTGTCTGCGAGATGAAAGATTCTGCTCCCTGTGTAGGTAATTCTCGACTGCGATCAAGTCACCTCTTCACTTTCTCTTTGATGAGCTATATAGATTGAGCGCCTTCAGTCTTTTCCCATAAGACATTTTCCAAACCTTTAATCAGTCTTGTGACTCTTCTCTGAACCCTCTGCAGTTTTTCAGCATCCTTACTTAAGTGCAGACACCAGAACTGGAC